GGTTTGCTTCCACACTGGGCAGGACAAGTCATCAGAGTCAGCGTTATTGACCAAAACCTCACAGTACCCCCAGGGCAGGTTTGTGTGAACAGCAATTCTGTGTAGACCAAAACTCAATTGATATGAAGAATACTTGCAGGTTTCATTTATTGAATAGCACGGTATGTGAATCACCTTTTTGCCTATAAATTCTCTATGTTTTGTTAACACTGGAGCAAACAGCATTGCTCAAGCTGAGCGACTCCAGTTCAGCTCCTGCTTGCTTTCTGCCAGGCTTTAGTCAGAGTTTATTCCAGGTGTGTTGTTTGAGCTCCTGCACCTGAGCATCATCCCAAAACACTGCTCTCCTTTGTGCTGCAAGGCACCATCCTGCCAGAACGGGATTATTATGAATATTATAATCACCAGTCAGCTCTGGAGCTCCCTGAAACACGAGGCTGCTCCTTCCCTAAGAACCACCGTGTATCAGCTCAGAGCAGGCTGAATAAAACAACTCAGGGCAGGCTGAATAAAACAACTCAGCTCTATCTGATGGAATAAAACAGCTCAGCTCAGGGCAGGCTGAAGAAAACAGCTCAGAGCAGGCTGAAGAAAACAGCTCAGCTCTATCTGATGGAATAAAACAGCTCAGGCTGAATAAAAGAGCTCAGCTCAGAGCAGGCTCAGTAACACAGCTCAGCTCTGCCCAATAAACGTGGCCCTGCCTTGTGGAGTCCACCTGTCTGGCTTTGCATCACTGATGTCACTCCTCTGGGTGTGAATATTCTTTTCTGCACCAGAACTGAAAGATTTGAAGCATTTCTGCTTGTTTATAAGACAGAAGAATTTCCAAATCCAGAAAAAAAGCAACAGCAGGATTGTCCTTGGGCAGCAGCAGCTGCTGAGATCACTGGAACTCCTGGGAATGCACAGCAGGAGCAGGGGAGAAGCTGCCCAAAGGATGCCAAGCTGGAGCTAAGCAGGTGGGGAAAACAGTGGCATTGCCATGGACACTTGATATGCTTGCTTTTTTAGATATGATTTTTATTTTTTAATGGAAAATACCTTCCTCCTACCTGCACAGGGCAGTGGCATTTATTTTTATTTTTATTTTTATTTTTATTTTTATTTTTATTTTTATTTTTATTTTTATTTTTATTGGAAAATACTTTCCTCCTGCCTGCACAGGGCAATGGCAGCTGCCAGCAGCTCCAGTCCAAGTGCCACTGCCAGGGAGGGCTGGCCACCCGGACAGTGTAGGAAATGACATGGCTTGGGGGATGGAGCCAGCTCGAGCCCTCCTGCCCTGCAGGAGCATCTGCTCACAGCACAGAAGCACAAGTGCATGCCTGTGATGCAAGTTATTTTAGAAGAGATGCTTATTCGGAGTAAAATTGGAATATTTGCGCTAAAAAGCACCTACCACTGGTGTGGAGTCACTGAATTTGCATGTCCTAAGGATGTTGGTATTTTAAGAACATACATTTCTCATGTGTTTCAAATCCCAGCTCCTGCAGCTGAAGGCTAAATGGTGCATGAGATCTAAGTGTACTCCACAGCATTTTTTTTTCTCCCACGAAGTAAAGAGGAAGAAATCTGAAAACAGCTTTTTGTTTCACCCTGGAGTCTCCCACATGCTTTGAGAGTCAGCTCAGCCTTTCCCAGGAGCAGCTCCATGATGTGGATACATGGAATTTTTCTGTTTTGACAGTCTTCTCTTAAGGGTGAGTGTAGGAAGTGGATTTGAATTTACACGTCTCCATGGGCTCACACTCGTATATAACCTGAGAGGATTTTGACTGTAAATCTGTCCTAAGGTTTGCTCAGCAGCCATGTAAAATCAATTCACACTAAATTCATACTGGAGACTAAGCACAGGAACGAAACACATTGCAAAGTTAACCAGCTTCTTCTGTATTTATCATTTGGTTAAGCAGCTGTGCATTTAAGGATTCAGATTTAGTGCTCCCTTTCAAAGAATTTAACTACACAGAAAATGAGTATTGCAAAGTAAAATATGTCTTTCTGTTCAAAAGTTCACTGTTGAAATTCTGTTCACTGTTTCTTCCTTCAGTTAAACCTCAGCTATGTCATAAGAAATATGTCACATAATGACAGTAATTTTCCTTTTTTGTTGCACATCTTCTGCTTGCACTGACCAGATATGGAAGTGCATTAAAAACTACTAGAATAACTTATCCAATAAAAAGAGAGAAACTCACCCAAGAAAAAGTTTCAAACAGCAGAAAACCAAGACTACTCCTAGCCTAATAGGACAAGACAGAAAATAGGCATTCCCTCAGGTGAACAGGAAATTTCTTCTAGTTTTGAACTAGCAAACATAAACTGTAAGAACTAAACACAAATCCAATGTACAAAATACACACAGAATGCAGTGAAACAGGTTGTTGCTTGGTCTGTGCTGCCACTCTTGTATTCTAAATTAATTAGCCAATACACATTCATTCTCGTGCTGGTTTATGTTTAAATGTACCCTTTGGGGTATTATTAAGATAGAATTTGATTTTTTTTTTTATAAAACTGCTGTTGTTCCTGGATTCTTAAGATCCACACATTTGCATGTTATGATTTATACCTAATGACAGGATTTTCCTTTGGCTGCCAGCAGGTGAAATGCCAGCACTGAAATATTAACAATTCCAATGACTCCTTTGATGGTGCCAAGTTTACTGCAATGCTTAGTAATGCTAAGTTTATTTATCTTAATGCACAAAAGAATTTCCCAAAGTGCTGCAGCTCTGTTGCTGGGACCCACGTAAACATTTTGCCATTGCACTGACTGCAATGAAATTCAGATTACACTCAATAATGGGTGTGTGTGACAACAAATTGCTCCAGTTGCATAATGTTCACATGGCTGCTATTTATACTGAGCAATATCCAGGGGCAATTTGATCCTCTCCAGTGCCTTCCCAATGCTTGTCCCAATGATGTCACAGCTACTGCCTGACCTGCCATCTTCATTTCAGGCAGAAGAAATGGGATGTGCCTGGCAGAGTTTTGCTCAGATTTCTTTTGGCTTGGCTTGTCTGACCAGCAAGCATCCAGCTCTGCAGCAATCCAGAG